ACAATTCATTTTTATCTTTTAAAAAAAAGAATATGAAAGGCTTGACTACGTGTAATATTAATGAAGTTTTATTAATATAAATTCCATATTAATAATGTTAGTATTGTGAGAATCAAGTTGTCCAATTAAAAGTTTAACATCAATCTAGTCTTATTAAAATAAGTTTTAAATTAAATAAGACTAGTATTGTTTTTATATATTGTGTTTAAGGTTAAAGTAGTTAATCAAAAAAATTTCTAAATAATGTACTTTTATTAGTAGTATAAATATAGATATGTATATTATATATATGGTGTGTGGGCTGGTTATTGGGTCGGGCTTCGATTTTCGGGCCAGGCTTTCGGGCCGAGTAGTGGGCCTAGAGGTAAACTCAAGCCTTTTCTTAAAGGATATTGGGCTCGGGCTCGGGCGGGCCAACTATCGGACTTATCGGGCTTATTTTTTTGGGGCTAGATAACGGGACCAATGGGTAACCCGGCCCATGGACACCCTTATCTGAATTATAAAACTACTTTAATGACAGGGTGTCAAAATGAGGTGTCATTTCAATATTTTAATATTTTTTATTAAAAAATATAATTAAACTTAATGGTTATATTTTAATGGGTATAGTTTTCATAACGATCGCAATTTAACGAATATATTTTTATAGTAAAATTTTTAAATTAAAATAAAATCAAATAAAACGCCTTAAAAAAATAAAATAAAATCACCCTTAATAAAATAAAAAAATTAAAATCACCCTTAATAAAAATAAATAAAATCACCCATCCCCTAAATAAAACGCCTCCTTCCCCTTCCCATTCTCCTAAACCCTAAACAAAATCACCCAAAATTAAAACATCCAGAACATTTCTCTTCCCCAGCACCTTCTATGCCTCCTTCCCCAGTGAAGTTACAACATCAGTGTATAGGTCCTGAGATGGTAGAAAAGTATGCGGTATTAACTTCTGTTTGGGCTCAACTAGTGAAGTTCGCTTGAGAGGGTTTTCATTATCAAAGGTAAGTGGTTACAACGCTTTTCAGGGAGTAGTAGACGCCAACGAATTTTTAGGCAAACCTCCTTCTCCTTTCCCTCTCTTTATATTTTTATAGAAAGCCGTTGAGAGGAACAGTAGACACCAACGACTCTTTTGCAACCTCTTTCATTCTTTCTCAAGAGTTTACAAATTTGCCAACCCAAGCCCATTGTTGCCAATTTGCCACCCTTGATGCCACCCCATTTGAAGTGAATTTTTTTAAATTTGGGATAACATTTTAGTGTTTATGAGAATACCACTTCTAATGGCAACTCCCTTTGGAGTTGCTCGAAGCTCATTGCTTATGAGCTCTAACTACCCCCCACCCACCAAAAAAAAAAAAAATGAACTCATCCCTTGCATGGGTTCTTATTTATTACTGTTGTGCATGCTAATTACATTCTTTTTTTGTTTATATTTCCCAGAACATTCTTTAACTTGTAACGTTGTGTGTTGCACCTTTATGCACCATTTCACTTCCGCCATCAGATGTGATGCACTCACAACCATTTGATAGTTAATAATTTTTGTAAGACCCACTAATTCAATAAGCACAAACTTGGATGATTTATGACGTAGTTTTGGCTAGTTTGAATAATAAATTGACGAACTTTCTTTACTCATGAACACGAAATTGAATTTGCCTACATCGGTGCCTAAATGTGTTGAATATTAGTTGCGTAAATTTTAACATGACATGGTTAAACGTGCCTATTAGTCATTGTGTAAACTACAATATACATTTGATTAATGTTCTAATTGGTTCAAAACAAAGTTTGGCTTCAAAAGCTATTTCCTGATAGTCCTTTTTGTGTAAACTAGATTATTGCAACTCTCTTGATAGTCTTTTTGTTTACAATCAAGTGCATTTCTAAAGGTTTCAAGAAGCAGTTATACCTGTCAAGTACACTGAAGCAAATTTTTTTATAAGTTTTGTCTTGGCCTGGTTGCTTCTACAGCTGGACTTGGTTGGCCAACTACTCCTATTTCTCCTGCTCAATTCTCAAACAGATAATAGTTCTAGTGATAAAAAGAACGAATTGTAAATTAAGATACTTGAATTTGAATTTTGACAATTTTTGGATTAGATTATGAGAGATTTATCTCTCGTTGATTTCCTTAGTCTCGGTGTGGATAGTCTGTTTTTTATTTGACCGGGGAGGAATTAGTTGAGATGTGCGTAAATTAACCTAGACACCGTTGACCGTTGAACCAAAAAAAAAAAAATTCTCCAACAGATCACCCTTCTCCATTATGAAAAATAATGTTTGATACACAAAAATAATTTTTGTAACTAATCAATGGATTAACATCAACTGAGTTGCAATTAGTAATTACGGGAAAATATCCTCTTGTAGAATGATCTCAACTCAAGCATCAGAGCTAAGGTGGTTTAGGTGGAATTCAATGCAGATCTAATTTTCAATTTACTTGTGAGAAATGAGAGAAAAGCACGTCTCCTCTCTTATCGAGAATCCATCCATATCTTATCGGTGTATGAATTGTCTATCTCTAAAATACAAGTTTAGTTTAATTTGAATTAAAAAAAAATGTAATACTTAAGAACGCATTTTCATGGACCAATAACTATGGGATCACACTTTTAATTTTTTTTTTTATGCTTTTCGGGAGGAGTGAAAAAAGTTGCAATCAATAGGAGAAATCATCCGAAATATTTACTCATTACGTGAGCATCATTTCTTTTTTCTTGGTTAGACACTATTATAAGGAAGGAGAACGACGAAATTTAAATTCACGATCTTAAAATTTAACAGTAGAAACAGTAGTCATTAAGTCAATTGATACCCTTTATGAGCATCATTTCATTTCATAGAACAATGTTATGAACTATCAAGTATATACTTGTTTTACTTCCCCAATAAAATTGGTGTTTTCTAGTTCATAACTGTCGACAAAAGAAGGAATTGGTGACCAGCTTCAACTTCGAAATAATCAAACCCCTCATTAAGATGACCCAAATGTATAATATTAAAGAGTACTGATCATTGGTTGCATGCAACTAAAAATAAACTAATCAATCTATGGCATGAAATTCAACATATTAGGCTAATGCAACTAAAAACAAACTCATCAATCTATGCCACCAAATTCAATATATTAGGTTCATTCAACAAGAAATACACTAATTGAGCAATAGACTTTTGCAATTTTATTGATACCCTTGAAGTATCTTTGTATTATTTATGCTATCTATGCTCTTGGATCTTCTCTATATCACTTTGTCTTGATATTTTTCAAAGGTATCTATCATGCACCTACTACCTTTAACTTCGTTCTCCACTAGTTGATGGTGAATAATCTATTATGGAAAAAAATTTAAACAAAAATATATGTGAAGGATGTTAATTTACCTGTCACCTTATATAGCTATCGCATAACTTCAGTAAGCTATAAATCTAGATATCTTGAGTTCGAACGTTGACAACGTTTTGGGACCAGTATATGAACGATTTATTTTTTATGAATACCCTTGGTCCCGATGTAAATAATTTGCCTTTAATCAGACTAAAAAAAGAATTAGTAGAAGAATTAATGTGCACGTAAACTGACATGAACACCAAAAATTATTAAAATTAAAAAAAAATACTATTGTATAAACAAAGTCTTTCAAGTCATCAAGCTAGTCTTTGGTTGGTGCTGTTATTGAGAAGACTTTGGTTGGTAAATTCACAATAGTCAAATATTAGAAAGGAAGAAAAAGGCAGTTGCTTTTGACTAGAATCACAAACCTACCTCCAGAACAAGAAAAGCATATGGAAATCCCACCCCTACCTCTTTCTCTCTCGTCGTTTTCCACACCTTAGAGATGGCCTGATCCCTAACTCTCATTGTAATACAGAAGATTAATTTCTTAATCATTCTTCCTTTTTTTATCCTTATATTTTAAAAGTTAAATAAATAATTATTAATTTATTACATAGTAAAAAATAATTTCTTAAATAAATCTAAATAAATGATAGGTAGTGGGAAAAGGTTTGGGTCGTTATAAAATATATCAAAATATGATTTGATTTTTTAAAAATTTTAATTAGGTAATTCAAAATTCAATAAAATTAAAAACTAAATAGAGAAGGCTTCTCAAAACTTCTTTCATAAGAAATTGTTTGTTTTATATAGATAGATAAATAGATGTGTAATATTTATGTATATTTTATATTTCTTTATATTATAATAATCAAATTAAAGAAGAGAAGACTTTAGAAACATTATCTTCTTATAGTCGTAACTTGTGCCTCACAGTATAAAACTCGAGCTTCAAAAAAATCAATCCCACTATATTGAATATTAATTTTTTTTTTCTAGTTCTTTAATTACATATTTTAGAAATAATTTTTATCCATTATTTTTTAAAAAAAATTACAATTTTCTTTCAAAATAATTAACCTTAAAAAAATGTGTACACTCTAATATATAAATAATGTCTAAAATAAAATTATATTAAACCACAAATTAATCAAAAATTAAATGATTCAATTTATAATATAAATGAGTGATGGGATAGATATACGTAAGAAAATTATGTGGTGATAAAATTCAAAATGCTAACTATCTTTATTTGCTAATTTTTTTAAAGTTTCACATTTTAAATTTATTTAATAAAATTAATTTCTTTAAATTAAACTCTCACGCGTTGTCTATTAGTTGTCACTTCCATAAATGTTACCACCTATTTTATATTTAATTTTTTTCTTCCAAAAATCATTCAAGCACTCCCATAAGTTTTGCTAATTATTTTAAATTTTAATTTTTAAAAAAATTAATCAAGTACCTTTAATAGAAAATTTATGAAAAACATTTGTGTGGGAGGTGTGAGAATAAAAATTGGAATATTTCATAAATTTCATCTATAATTTCCAGCCTTAAAAAAATATAAATATAATAATGAGATTTTAATATTTTTTTTATTAATACTTGACTTTTGTTAAAACCCCACTTTTTCCTCAACTGACCCCCGCCTTTTCTCTCTCAGTCCCACCTCACTTACGTGCCATGCCCTCCTTCTCCCTCCCACCAGCAGCAGCAGAAACGGTTGACAGAAACCTTGAGCCATGGGGAACTGTAACGCATGTATAAGACCCGAGAGCCCGAATTCCCTCCACCACCACCAAAAGAGTCACAAACAAAAGAAGAAAACCAGAGAACGAAGACCCAACCCATACGCCGCATCACAAGCTCCAATTCGAGTCCTCAAAGACATCGTCTCCAAAACCCGTATTGGTGACAAGTACATACTGGGTCGCGAACTGGGTCGTGGCGAGTTTGGCATAACCTACCTCTGTACTGACAGAGAGACCCGCGAAGCCTTTGCATGCAAATCAATATCGAAGAAGAAGCTCCGAACCGCCATTGATATCGAGGACGTTCGACGTGAGGTCGAGATATTGTCGAGCTTGCCGGACCATCCAAATATAGTGAGGTTGAGAGATACTTATGAGGACTATGAGGCTGTGCATTTGGTAATGGAGCTGTGTGAGGGTGGAGAGCTTTTTGATAGGATTGTGGCGAGAGGACATTATAGTGAGAGAGCGGCGGCGAATGTGGCGAGGACGATTGCGGAGGTGGTGAGGATGTGTCATCAGAATGGGGTTATGCATAGGGACTTGAAGCCCGAGAATTTTCTGTTTGCCAATAAGAAGGAGAATTCGGATCTCAAAGCTATTGATTTTGGGTTGTCTATATTTTTTAAACCGGGTATGGTGGTCAATTTTGTTGGATTTTGCAGAGGGTAGTAGAGATTCTTGGTGTTTTGGTTGTGCGTTGAGTTTTGAAAATTTATCCTGTTTATATTTGTGTTGGTGCTATTCTGTGTGAATGGTTGATGGGGGTGGTGAATCCTGAAAAGGGGTTTGGAAATCTTAATCTTGTTTGAAAAGGTTTTGATTGTATGTTCTCCTTAATTGTGGATGTTGAATTTATTTGTGGATCTTGCTAGATTGTTTGTTTGGTTGATTGTTTTGTAAATAGCTGAATTTCGACTTTTATATGTTTTAGAGGCTCTGAGTTGGTTTTTCTGTTGTTTTGTTAAATTCTCCATTTTTTTTCCTGGTATTCTGTTTATTTTTTTATATATCCAATAAGCATTTTTGCTCTGTTTTATATTTGCTGTTTCTGTGTTGTTGTTTGCTTAAATTATTGAATTTTTACAATTATTTTTCTTACAATATTGATGCTTCAAGTGAGTGTCAGACTGTCAGTTGATTCCTTTATTAGATCATTGAAGGCCAACTCTCTTTCATAGGGAGGGGTTTGAGTTTGCTGATAGAAGTTTGTCAAATTTCAATTTGGTTTTTGACAGTTTTTCAGGTTTCATGGATTTGTTGATTTTCTCGCACTTTTGTAATTTTCAGGGCAGAGGTTCTCTGAGATTGTGGGCAGTCCATACTATATGGCACCGGAGGTTCTAAAGCGGAATTATGGGTCAGAGGTTGATGTATGGAGTGCTGGTGTGATTCTTTATATTTTGTTATGCGGGGTTCCCCCATTTTGGGCAGGTATGTTCTTGTTTTCAATCATATAAAGCATTGCAATGTATGCCTTGATTCGGTTATGAGGATTCTATTGTTAGCTTTTTTTGTTTAACTGTTTGTTGCAGAAACTGAACAGGGCGTTGCTCTCGCGATTTTGCGAGGAGTGATTGATTTTAAGAGGGAACCATGGCCTCAGATTTCTGATAGTGCTAAAAGCCTTGTTCAGCAGATGTTGGAGCCAGATCGCACAAAGCGATTGACTGCCCAACAGGTGCTCGGTAAGTCTTGATGTATTTTATAGCATACCAATTGGTCTCATGAATTTCAGTTTTGTAGTTAGCTGACTTTCTCTGTTGACAGATAGCATTGTCTTTGTTACTCAGGCAATGGTTTTTTGAAGGAGATGATGCACCAAAGTGGTCATAGTGTGATTTTTTGAAAGTATAAATATCCAATGATTTAGTTCATGATCAAATAATACTATTATAGATGTGTTTCGCTCCCCCTCCTCCCTCCCCCAACAAATCCCCAAAGAAAAGACAGTTAAAAATTAATCTGGAGGCAACATTTTGGATTTTGGCCCAGCCTAGCTAACAAAAATTAAAGACCACGTTTCATTGTAAAAGGATGAAACAGAATATTTAGTGTAAAACAACTGATTTTTTTAGACCTTGAATAATACTTCCGTAGCCTCGTGTTTTCAATGATCTTTTCATTTGAAACACCTATTGTATAAATTTGACAATAGGTTGCCAATTGTTCTAGTTTCTGAAAACTTCGATGGTGTCTGAAGCTGTCACCTACTGTTTTACGTTTATATAGGAGCAAATCAGAATAAATTGCATATGGATTTTGGCTTGAATAAGGGTTTTCCTTACAATTAGTTGATATGGGACTTTTATTTTTGCCACGTATTTTCCTTGTTCCTTTTAAAGTTGGACAACAGATCAAGTTTCCAGTTTCCACTGATGAGTTTGGGGTAAGTGAGGTTCTTGGTGTGGCGAAGGCTGGGGACCTTCTGGGTTCATGAAGGTAGTGTGCAAAAGTGGACCTTGTATTCCAATGTCAAGTATACTGATCTTTTCTTGGTTGAGAAGATATCTATCATTTATTCCCACTTAATGGATGTAGAAGCACCTCGTTTTTTGAGAGGCTGGCTGAAATGGTGGTTGTTTTGGTGCTATTTTGCTAATAGGTTTGCTCTGTGCAATTTCCAAAAACAATTTGAAGTTCCTAAGCCCTAATGAGTATTAGCAACCAGACAAGAATAGGTAAAAGCAAGCAAGTTGCAAATACATTATTTTTAACCATCTTAATTTCAGGAGACTGTTATTTGTTCATCATGTGCATTGCTAGTGGACTGAATTCTGTAACCACTAACCACATGACATATTTGTTTTGAAGCAGCTGTTCAAGTGTTTGATTTGCTTCCTTTTTGACAGACCACCCCTGGATACAAAATGCGAAAAAAGCTTCAAATGCGCCATTGGGAGATATAGTGAGGACAAGGCTCAAGCAGTTCTCTTTGATGAATAGATTCAAAAAGAAAGCCTTGAGGGTAAGCATCTAATATGGAATTCAGCATGATTTTCAATGTTATTTCATTGAAATTGCATTTCATAGTGACTCAATGTTCAAAAAGCCCATATTGACTGATGTGTAATGCCAAATCTGGATAAAGTATTGATAGTGATTATTCTGTTCTGGAAATGAAAGGCGAGTGATGGAAACACATCAGTGTGTGTGGACTCTCTGTTGTATGATCTTATATCTCTTACTGCAAAGATGTGGAGTTCACTTAAGATATGTTGATAAGAAGCTGGGTTTGTCCAATCAAATGGTGTAGGTAATTGCAGAACACTTGTGTCTTGAAGAGGTAGAAGTAATCAGAGATATGTTTGCACTGATGGACACAGACAGTGATGGGAAAGTAACATATGAGGAACTGAAGTCTGGGCTTCAGAGAGTTGGTTCACAATTGGCGGAGCCAGAGATAAAGTTGCTGATGGATGTGGTAAATGTCATACTCAGTTAGCAGTTGGATGTGGAACTAGTTGCTTTAGCGATTAATATTCTTTGCACATGTGGTTGCAAAATTCTTTTCTTTTTGCTCATCTGCTTATGGCGTTCCAACTTCTTTTGCCTGTTTTGTCTTGTGAACAGATATAATTCCAACGTGCCACCATGGAATTTGTTTTCTCTTGATACCATGATTAATTAATCATCAACTTGTTATGTTTTCTCTTGATACAGTTATTGATGGATGATTATATCATAGATTCCATCTCTTCTAAACTTGCATTTCCATGTTTTGGCTTTTTTCTTTTTCTTTTTTTGTTTGTTTCTCTTTCCTTACCTTATTCAAAAAGTTTGTTCATGGTCTGTTATTATTGTTTGTTTATTATCTAGTAATGAATCACGATTATTACAGCCTAATACCTCAACTCAACCATATGTTGGATGGCTACTCAACATCTGTTTGCCATTTATGTTCATATATATTTTAGAATCATAACCCATAGGTCACTTTTAGCCTGATCTCACATTTCCGGTGTTCGCCTTGTACTTGCAGCTGCTTTATACTGCTCCGACCCTTTTTGCTCTAATTATTTTCTATATTTATGCAGTCATGAAGACAATACCATGAAAAGTGACTCATTTGTATTTGATTGGTATCAATACTTTCCTTATGATTCTGTGATGCTGAGATTTTCTGTTCTATGCATATAAAAATGGAGTAGGTATCTTCCTATGAGAAGGATCTAGGTGGAAGACAAATTGTCGTAGTATTGGATTAGTTCGAAAATCTTTTATTTTTAACATGTTGACTGAACGAGTGATGCAGGGATTTTCCAACATAAATGAGCTACTTAATGGTGCAAATTTTCACCTTCAGTAAGGCTAGTTTGACTATTCATAATAGGCTGTTGGGCTGCATTTTTTCTCTTTGGCGAAGTGAAGGCTTTGAAAAATTTACATGTTTCACAATAGTTTAGATGACAGTGAAGTAGTTATGTGGTGGTATTTCCGAGGATGATGCGTTCACTTTTGCTGAATGTATGGTTATCATGTATCTTACTGTCAAGATATTTCCATGGGCTACCATTTTGGTTTGCAGATAATCCCTTCAAAATCAACTTTTCCTGGAATTTGTACTATGTATATTTTCGTTGTTTAGGTGTTTGCTTTTTCTAATAAAGAACGTAAAACAACTTTATTAGCTCAGAATGCAGTAAATAGTCAGATGACAGAATCGAGTTGATAGATGTCACTAAGCATAGTTCTGTACCCCAGGGTTTAAATTTAATTTCACTAACAAAGCATTACCTCTGAACATTTATTAGGCCGATGTTGATGGGAATGGAGTGCTTGACTGTGGAGAGTTTGTGGCAGTAACAATTCATTTACAAAGGATGGAGAATGATGAGCATATCCGCCGAGCATTTATGTTTTTTGATAAAGACGGGAATGGGTACATTGAGCTTGATGAGCTACGAGAAGCCTTAGCTGATGAGTCTGGTGAAACTGATTTGGACATACTTAATGACATCATGCGGGAGGTTGACATGGACAAGGTTTGACATGCAATCTCTATCATATCTTCTCGAACTCGAGATTCTCTTCTTTTCTTTCTTGAATTTGCTGTTTTTTATGCACTAATCTCAAAACTAATTTGTATTTTGAGTGTACAACACCTCTTTAATTTTTGAAGAATTGGAGCCTCTGTAATTCTTGAACTATTAGGTGACCCATCATAGTGGAATCACACTACCGGTTAGGGTTTAGGATTAGAGACACATATTTGTTTCATGTGTGAAGCTTTGGGTTAACAGTGTCTTTATGTCCACCACTAACTTCTCATACACAATTTTCCATTCTCCATTCTCCATTCTCATCTGTGCTTGACTTTTGATTCTCGCTCATGACTCTCTTTTTAACTTATGTCTTTCGCTGGCAATAAACTGTGCATTCATTATTTTAGATCTGAAAGTCAATGATCAACTTGCATCAGGAAACAAAATTCTAAATCTGAAAATATTATGAATCAAATTTGCAGTTTTAGTTCCAGTACTTGAATGAAATAAAACCAGGAAATATTATTCTCATTCATGATGGATTTGTGCACATTATAAGCAACAGTGGCATCCAAACCTTCCACTCGTGCCCTTGGAAGATGGGGCTGCATTGAGTATTCTTCTCAGAGACAGAGAGAAAAGAATGATGGTAGCAAAACCAACCAAGTGTGGCTGGTTTGATTCCTCCTTTTTCTGAGGAAAACTAGCCATATGTAAAACCCGTCTCCCTCATCTCTCTCTCCACCTCCATTCCCCACCTTGGGGGAAGCAGTTAAACGTCCTTTTCACTAGTCTTCTCTAGAAAGCAGCATGTTTTTGGAAAATTGTTGCTGATCTCTGTGTCAATCTAGGCCCTCCAGCAAGATTTTCATAAGGTGTCACCCATTGGTAAAGAGAATTTGAGATATATTTCTGTCGATATCCATAGCATTTGGGAAAAATATTGGGACTTTGTTGAAATACTGAGTCAAAATGGGGGGATGATATTCAAATTGACGGAATTTCAGAATGGCCTAAAGTGGCGGTGCTTAAATTTTTGATTTTTAAAAAAACAAATTAAATACACGCTGCATCACTTGCCTCCCTTGAGTTTTTTTCCCCACTAAGTTCCCTCCCATATGTTTACTTGCTATTTTCCTAATGGTGTCACCAATTCTGTCAGGATGGGCAAATCAGTTATGAGGAGTTTGTTGCAATGATGAAAACTGGAACGGATTGGAGGAAGGCATCACGACAGTACTCGAGGGAGAGGTTTAAGAGCTTGAGCCTTAACCTGCTGAAAGATGGGTCTCTGCAGCTTCAGGATGGGATTACTGGTCAAACTATTGTTGTTTAAGCTCAAGGAGGCTTCATAATCTTGTTTCTTCAATGCCTGCTGATTGTTTCTTCGCTTTCTGAAGTCAAAATGAAGCGATATAACTGGAAATTTTGGCATGTGGATTCTCGAAAATGGGAGTTTTCGAGAGTGAACCGTGGAATATCAATATTTTTGGTTGTTTTGGCTTTAGGAGATATGGATTGAAGATCGATCAGCTAGCCAGAGTTGGCTTTAGGAGATATGTTAAAAAGTTTTCCTCTTTGTTCATCTTGTATATTGTCTTTTTTCTGAGAGAGCATTTGGAAAACCCACACCCCAAAAGTTTACTCCAACCAACACCTTTATTTATGAAAATCAGAGAATATTCTAATTGATAGTGGTATTCATAACTAGTATTGGATTGAACACTTCAAATTCTATTGAATTTGTTGGTCCTTATGAAAGACTAAAGTTGATGAATGGACTATTGATTAGTGGTTTATGTGGTTTTGGGTTCAAAAGAGAACTCATTTATTTTCGTTCAATGAAACTGTGGTGGGTCAATTTGACTGCCACAATGTGGCTTAAATCTACAGTGGATAATAGCCCAGTGGCCACTTTGGTGCATCAAAGGATTGAGGCCATCATCTTCAACGGTCAGAAGTATTCAAACTTATTTATGCGTACCTCGACTAATCTTTTTATCGGTCTGGTCAAAAGTAGGTTTTCTACATTAGGATTGTGGTACTTATGAAGGGTAAATTTCTTATGAATTGAAGCCACCATCTTGTGCTTAAGCCTCGAGAACCCAAAAAAGTAATTTTTTTTTTCTGCATAGGTTACTGTAAGACAAGGGAGTGAGGTTATAATTTGCTTAGTTTATATCAAAATACAGTTGTTTGAGATCGATTTTAATATTTCAAAACTGATATTAACTTTTTTGTCACATTTGACATTGGTTAATTGTAATTTGATTGAAAAGAAATAGTTGTAAAATCTCATTGTGTATTTACTATTTATGGTCATCGAAGGGATCATATCCATCGGGCTGTCAAAGTTATAAGACTACTGATACTTTATTGCCTTTTGTTTTTGGAAAGATCATGCAAGGTTGTAACTGGAATCAATCGAGGAACTAAGGACGTATTCAATACCAACCTATCCCTCGTTGACGTAATTGTAGTAACTTCAACACCCATTAATTTTACACTTTCTAACATCTCGAGTTAAAAATTCTTGTCATGCTTTTCATTCTCGATTTTATGTTATAGATTCTTCATCGATTCTTTCCCGTAGAAGTAAGATATTCTACATAAATCTTTTTGATTCACTAGTTGGTCTTCCTCTCAAATCCCATTTTTTTCAAGGTTCTTTATTCCGATTATAAAGTTTTGGTGAAGAGTTTAGCAGTTTGTTTAATGGTCATTTTTTTTGCTATTGGATCTTAAAGTTGCAAATTTAAATTTTATCGTCCCCTTCTTGTAATACTACCCGACAAAAAGGATAAAAAAAAAAGGGAACCTTTACAGAAAAATACTTTTGTTTGGAGAAAGCTAAAGTCCATGTACATAAAAAAAATATAGAATAAGTAAAGGTACACAAATGGCAATTACTCGGTGTGAGTGGTTGATGGGTCACCTTGTTCAAAAAGTAAAGGTACAGTAGACTCAATCAGTGCCAACTTTTACATAAAGCTGCTCGATTCGAATAAGACTACCCACTTGCCTATAACAAAGTTGCAATTCTTTGCCTCTCCTTTCATTAATATTTTCATACTTATCTTTATATATTTATTTGATAAGTAATGAAAAAAGTAATATACAGTGAACAAGACGTCATTTTTTGTAATTTTGTTTACGAATATGACTTGAGAAGAGATTGGAATTCAAGTTTTTAGGTTATTCGGGTAACTACGGTGATTATTTCACCGTTGTCTTAAATTTGTGTCTCGTAAAAAATGTAATAGTTAATCCGATTTAAGTAATTTATAAATGATTATACACATTCTGAATTTACCTTATACTCATGAATTTTACTAAAATAATTCTCTTATTCAAAAATAAAAAATTTTCGAAATGGATGGGATCAACAGGGTTGTTAACTTGCCCCAACAATAAGAGTTTTTTTTTTTTTTTTTTTGTAATTTCAAGAGATAGTTCAAGTGGTAACATGAACGAATTATAAATCTAGATGCGCTGAGTTTGAATCTTTTCAATCTCTGCAAACAGATATATGAGTGCTAATCGAGACGAGTTACTTTGGACTTAACTCGGACTTGACTTGGATATGAGTTAACTCGAGTTCGACTTATGTTTTAAACAAGCTGAGTTTGAATAACTTTGTAGACTCATTTAAAAAAACAAGTTTAAAAGGTAGGCTCGGGCTTGAACTTGGCTCATTTTCTAAACAAATCGAGTTTGAACAATTTTTTAAATTTGTTTGAAAAGACAAGCTCGATAAACTCAAATTCAAGCTTGTAAAGTTCAGCTTAATTAACACCCATAAACAGATACCTTCCATGTTCTTGTCTGCACAAGTTTTTTTCTGGTGCCACACATTCAGTTTGATGCAATAAATGATTCAATCCAATAATAATTCCCAGTCATGGTTGTGGAGTAAGCAAAGCATGTGATTCTGTTTCCATGCATTGATTTTATAGGGTTGAAGGAGCTGAGAGAGAGAGAGAGAGAAGGGGCCATGTGGGATTCACAGGTTCTCATTCTGGATAGTATTGGAATTAGAAACAGAAACCCTATCCACTCTTGGCCACAAAAATTATCACACAACAAAATAGGGGGAGGAAAACAAGTTGAAGACGCAATGTGAAAAACATAGTAGTCCAGGGGAAAATATTAAAAAAAAAAAAAAAGAGTTATAGTTGATGGGGTCAAAGTGTAATTTGTCCAAAAAAAAATAGAGAAGAAAATAAGCAAGCCAGAAAGAGAGAATACAGTCCACTTGCAGGAGCAAATTGGTCCCTGCATAATTTGAGGGGTTGAAGTTTTGTATGAGGTTTCAGATGTGTGAGGTTTCAGATTCTGGGTTAGATCCTTAAAAGTTAGAATAATTAGTGTAAAATGAATTGGTGGTTGGGACCAATTATCTTAAATAGAATATACTATATTATATTCTATAGATTTAAATTTAGGTATACTAGTATCTGATTCGATTGTAATCTGATCTGGGTGGTGTAAATATATGACAATATTGTGTAATTTTATTGTGAAATTGAGATGAGATTAAGATATATTTTGCTATAATTTAAGTATTATGTAGTTATCCTACTTCGATCCAATAATTTGTTATAAGTAAACTTTATTTTAGCTTGTTCCTTTCTTGTTATTATTTTTTTGATAATTAACAAAGAGGTGAGAGCAAGGAAAAATGTCCAGTGACCATCCCAATAGACTCTTATCAGTGGGATCATAAGACCTCTTATCGTGCCTAGAACCCCTATCAAGACCAGACCTAATTAAGATAGTATAGCGGTCAACTACTAAGCTCCAATGAAGATTCAAAATCCCAACCTTAAGATAAGGAGTAATGCCGGTACCCCACTAAACCACCTTACTTGGTGATCTTTTCTTGTTATTAGTAAGATAGGTTTTGACTATTTTTTCCCTTTTAACAAGAATAAGTTAAGTTTCAAAAGCTCTTTTTTCAATTGGTTGTTTTTTTCTTACTATTACAAGAGTGGTTAATAAATAGAAATCTCCCGTTAATAGTCTTCTCTTCTTATTATTTCATTTCGTTCGAAAAAGATGATACGACAGGAAAGACATAGAAGGGTAGTTTGGAATTGGGAACAACAATAGGAGACGACTTGTAGCGCCCTCCCCTCGCCTCCCTCCCTCTTCCTTGAACCTATTTGTTCCCCGAGCCCAGAAGAGATGCATAACTCTTTTTTTTTTTAAAAATAGATGAATATATAGAGCAATGATATAGAATATTGAAAAAAGTAAAATATACTCTTTTTGAAATATTCGTATCCCTGTCTAACCTTTTATTTTATTCTTTTGTGCGAGATTAGTTTCAATTCTTCCATAAAAATGTAGTCAAATGAGTCCAAACTTTAATGTATAGGAGGAGATAGCACCAGATTTCACCACGTCTCTCATCCTTTGATGTATAGGTGGAATTTTTGTACAACAACTTTTTATTTGGTCAATCAGAAAGTGACATGTAAAAGTTAGATTATTTTCAACGTTTAAGACAAGATTGGTGATTTTAAAATTTATTTTTTAATGGTTAAGTGGTTTGTTACGGTAAAGTACGGATGTACTGGGGAAGAAAGGGGGACAAATCATGTGAAGTGGTTTGTTGGTTGTTTCATGTTTGGCCTTTGGGTCTGGCACCCAACTCTCTCTGTCTACTCAGAAAGGTACATGTGCCACATGCCCTGCTGTCCCTTTCACTTGCTTCGCTTCGTACCCTTTTCAACTATTTCTTGAATTCACACCTAATCGAACACCATACGAGTAATCCATACAATTTAGGTGCCATCTTATAAAATTTGAATGGTAAATAGGTTGATTTGTCGGATACATTTAATAAATGAGTTGTATTTGAGTTGCACCTGTCAAATTTTTTATCACATGTTTATCCGTTTAAATAAAATTAATATAATATAAATTAATAATTATTTTAAAAAATTAACCAAAAAAGAGTAAAGAAATCAATAAAAAAAAAAAATAAAATAACAATTTAAAGACAAATGAGAAGAGATGAGGAGCATTTCATGATAAAGGCAAACTAACTCCTTTATTTTTGTCTCACATCGATAAATGAGAGGGGATGAGGAGGGTTGTCTTGTCTATAAAAGACAGTGATCTATTGTCTTTTTTTTTTTTTAGCTTTTAAGTCTGAATTTTATGTAAAATTTGGCTAGAAATTCATCTTTTTTTAGGTAAATACAATTGACAGCAAAAAAAATGGTGTATTAAAATTTGTTGTTATATTTTTTTTAAATTAAAAAGGTTAAACAAGTCGTGTCGTGTTACCCGTTTATTAAATGGGTCGTGTTCATGTTGAAATTTTTTATCCGTTTATTAAACATGTCGTGTACGGGTTTACATGAATTTCACCCGTCACTCGTTTAACTCGACACGTAACTGTTTAACCCGATGCATTTGACACCTCTACCTATGATGATGAATCTTATAAAAAAATTTATTTTTTTATTTAATGAAACATGTCACTTTTTGATAAATTATACATTATTTAATTAAAAATTAATAATCGAGATGAATTTCCTATCGTAACCTTGGCCGATTCTTTTTGAGTAGCAAAGAAGGATATATGAATTGGACAAGGCTACAATACCGACTCTATCTCGGTTATTGATTTTTTTTTAAAAAAACTATAATTATATTATCAAGTTAGTAGGAGTGCCATGCTGAATGGAAATGAGGTCTCTTTGCTCACCATG